ATTCCTGTTCTATTCCTATTCTATTCTACTCTACTCTACTCTACTCTACTCTTCCTCTATTCTATTCTATTCTATTCTATTCTATTCTATTCTATTCTATTCTATTCTATTCTATTCTATTCTATTCCATTCTATTCTATTCTATTCTATTCTTATTCCCTTCTGTGTTCTGTTCTGTGCTGTTCTACTCTTCCCCTACACATATTCTATTGTATTCCTATTCCTATTCCCTTCCATATTCTATTCTACTCTACTCTGCTCTATTCCATAATATTCTTTCCTATTCCTATTCTATTCTTTCCTATTCTATTCTATTCTATTCCTATTCTACTCTACTTTACTCTACTCTACTCTACTCTACTCTACTCTACTCTACTCTACTCTACTCTATTCCTATTTCCTTCCATATTCTATTCTACTCCACTCTGCTCTATTCCTACTCTACTCTACTCTACTCTACTCTTCCCCTACCCCATTCTATTCTATTCCTGTTCCCTTCCATATTCTATTCTATTCTACTCTACTCCATAATATTCATTCCTATTCCTATTCTATTCTATTCTTATTCTATCCTACTCTACTCTACACTTCCCCTACCCCTATTCTATTCTATTCCTATTCCCTTCCATATTCTGCTCTGCTCTACTCTACTCTACTGCTATTCCTATTCTATTCTTATTCCTATTCTATCCTATACTATTCTACTCTAGGCTACTCTACTCTTCCCCTATTCTATTCTATTCCTGTTCCCTTCTGTGTTCTGTTCTGTTCTACTCTACTCTATTCTAATTCTCTGTTCTAATCTATTCATAATTTTCATACAGTTAGCCTTTGATTAACAACAGTTCATTTAGTGACAGTTCAAAGTTACAATGGCACTGAAAAAAGTGTCTTACGATCAGTTTTCACACTTACGACCTTGTGGCATCCCCAAATCACATGATCAAAGTTCAGGACTCTTGGCAATTGACTCACCTTTACGATGGTTACAGTGCCCCGAGCTCACACGGTCATCTTTTGCAACCTTTTTACAAGCCAAACCAAGGGGGAATGCCACATTCACTTCCCAGCCGTGTTGTTTAACTTATCAGCTGCAGTGATTCACTATAACAACTGTGGCAAGAAAGGTCGTAAAACGGGGCCAAATTCACCTAAATGTCTCACTGAGCAACAGAAATTCTGGCCTCAATTGTGGTCGTAAGTTGAGGACCATGTATATTAGTGCATCTCTCTCTCTCTCTCTCTCTCTCTCTCTCTCTCTCTCTCTCTCTGCGTGGCTGTTTTTGACAAAGATCACTATAACAGATTTGGGAAAGGGACCTTGGAGGTCATCTAGTCCAGAGGTTGCCAACCTTTTGGACCTCAGGGACCACCAAACTCATATTTTTAAATCCCGTGGACCAGAGACCCTGGGAAAATCCCTAAAAAAATCTGCAGGAAAATTCCCCACCCCGTTTTCCTA